CCCCCGGCCTACGGCGCCAATGGCGACGTCGGCGGTGGGATACCCGGCCCCGCTGCCGCTGCCCCAGCAGCAGCAGCAGCCACATCTGTCAGCAGCCACGCCGCCGGCAGCAAGCGCAGACCCTGGGCGGCAGGCCGCGGCGGGGGTGGCGGGGCTGGCGCCTGGCGCGATCGCGGCCGCGGCGCCACCTGGCGCAGACCCCGCAGAACTGCGGAAGCAGGAGGACGCCTTGTTGGAGAAGGCCGGCGGCATACAGGTGCGCGGGCGCAGCGCCGCCAGCTGCAAAAAGGCCATGAATCACCGATCTCATCCAGTGGCGCCGCCGCGCGCCGCGCTCAGTGCATGCGCCCCGGCCGCTGCGCTGCGCTTGCACCCACCGCGGCGCCTGTTCCTCGGTCTCTCGTGCGCTCCCACGGGCGCGACCGGCTGGCGCCCGTCCTGATATTTCGCGCTCTTCCAATCCGCGCGGCAGGCGCGGTGGCGGGACCTGGCTTGGGGGTTTGCAGCGAGATGGGAGGACCCGCCGCGGGCCGCGACGCGCCACGACTACACTTTGCGTGAAATGAAGTGGCTCGCCAACGATATGGCGCAGGCGCGTCCCCCCACTCTTCCCCCTCCCCCTGCGTGCGCTTGCATCCAGTCTGCATGCGTGCGAGCGCGCCCGCGCGCGGCAGTGTGGGCCAGGCGCGCCAAGGGGATGCCACCCGCGCGCCGATGCTTTCGGGGGGATCGATTCGACTCCGCGGGGTGCCGCCACAGCGGGGGGGAGCGCTGCTCTGCGGTCGCGGCGAATCGGCGGGTGCGGGCAGCTGTAGGGGCTGCGCGGCAGGACAGGCTGGACCAGACGCACATGGCAGCGACGGGACACACCAGACCTTGAGAGGGATGGGACCAACCGGGCACGGGCGCTGCGGCCTTGCCCTAGCACTACTGCGAGGTGGAGCAAGGCCCATGGTGCCGCCCGGACCGCCCCAACATGTGCAGGAACGCCTGTGGCAGCGCCGGGCGGCGCTGCACTTTGCGGGCTTGGCGGCCGCCGCGGCGCGCGCGCGGCTGCGGCGCCTGTCGCTGCCGGCGCGCGATGCGGCGGCGGCGGCGCACAAGGCGGCGGCGGCAGCCCACAAGGCCGCCACAGGCGGCGGCGGAGGCGGCGGCGGCGGCGCGCGGGGCGGAGGGAAGCGGGGCGGCGTGGCGAAGCACAAGGCGGCGGCGGCGGCGGAGGGGGCCGGCGGGGAGGGCTCCCCGGGGCCCTCGCTGGTTTCTGGAAAGGCAGTGGCCCTATCAGATGAGGAAAAAGCGGTCCTAAGGGCCGACCTCGGCGCGGCGGAGGCGGGGCGGGCGGCACAGGAGTTTGGTGAGCGTCGCAGCCGGGCCTCGGGTTCTGGGCCGTGCGGGCGGGGCGGCGGCGCGTCTGGGCGGAGGGCGGCGGCCCGCCGATGCGTCCGGCCCGCGCTGCTGCACTGAATTTCTGCAGTCGCCCGCACACGCCCCCGGGCCGCCATCATGTCCCAAAGCCCGTCGCTGTTTACGGCTTCTCATTCGCGCTGCCCGTGCAGAGTCAGTCCTGGGGTCGTTTCCCGCGGGGGAGGGGCCGGAGGAGGTCCAGGGGCAGGAGCAGGCGGAGGAGGGGGCTGGCAACGGCGGTGGCGGCACGGCGGCAGAGGGGGACCTCCTGGGGCGAGTGCAGGTGCGGCGCATGCGGGTTTGGGTGCGTGCAGGGTTGCACGCGTGCTGGCGCTGCGGGGCCCGGCGCCGCGGTTTGGAGGGGTCAACAGGCCAGAGGGCGCAAGGGCGCCGCGTCGACGGAGCAGGAAAACACACACACTCACACACGCGCATGCACACACACACACACACACACACACACACACACACACACACACACGTGCACGCGCGTGCGCGCGCGCATTTGCACGCGCGGCACACAGTTTCACAAGGAACCCTTGCTGTGCCCCCCCTCACTCCTCTCCCCACCCAACGCACTCATCACCAAACCAAGGTTGACCACCTGCTCATGTGGGGCCACGCTGACCTGGCGGAGGTCCTAGTAGACCACCTGCAGTGGCAGGAGGTGCGGCCGGGGTCTCCGAGGTGTCCGACTCTGGAGGAAAAGGGTGGCGTGAGACGAGACGCAGCGCCGGCCCTCGAGCCCAGCAGGCCTCAGGGCGTTTGGTGCAAGTGTACGGACCTCTGATTGAGCATAGTGATGTGTTCGACGCGCCCTGTGGCCCAAGTGGAAGTTGATGTATCAAACGCGCACGTGCTTGTGACGTCATCTACACGTCACCGCAGGCGCAGCGGCTGGTTCGCCACATGGACTTGCTGGCCAAGGCGGACGCAAACCTCGAGGTGGCCTGGATCAACGCTGAGCTGGCGGAGCGAAAGGCCCGGGAGGCCACGGGCGGCGCCGCCGGCGCGGGCGCGGACGCCGACGCGGCGCGGCGCGCGAAGCGGCTGAACGGCGCGCGGCCGGCGGTGGGTGGCCGCACCGCAAGCTCGCGTCTGGTCGCGCCTCGGGCTCCTGTTCCTCGCACCTGCACGCGGCGCGCTTTGTGCGGCGGCCTCGCTTCTAGCGGCGCCCGCATGGCAGCACCGCCGTTCGCATGCTCGACGCAGGATCACGCACACATTGCCTTAGCGATGAGCTCTGCCCTTGAGTGCGGCACGCATCAGCCGACGCGGCACGCCTGCTGTTGGCAACTGCACCTCTTGCTTGGCGGCCCGACAGGTGCGCATGGACGGAGCCGTGGCCGGCGACGACGCGGACGCGGCGGCGCGCGCGGCGGCGCACTACGCGGCGGCGCGCGACAGGAAGAAGCGGAAGGTGCGCCGCTTGCTTCGCGCGCGCCACAACCCTCTTGTCCCGCACGCCCGTCTCGGCCCCTCCTACATCCAACCCCAAAATGGTCGTCTCGTCGCAAACCGTTTGCCCACAACTTCCCAACTCCCCCGCCCTCTGTATCAAATCAAAATGCTATACCCCACGTTCATCCCGCCTGACCTCGCGCCGCGTCATCGTCCGTCAGGGGCGCGAGTTCGATGACGACGATTACGTCATGGGCATGAAGCAGGCCGCAGCTGCGCCGCGCCCCCCACTCCGCTTGGTGAGAGCCCTGCCCCCGCACCGCCTTTCCGACTTCCAGCCCTCGTGCCCTGTGCCGCCATGCCGCCTCGCGCTGCGCACGCGCCAAGGCGCTGCCCCGTCTGGGGCCGCCTGCCGCACCAGCGCCCTCGACCAGCCCCCTGCCGCATGCGCGCCTGCTCAAACGGCGACGCAGGCGCAGCCGCAGCTGCAGCAGCCGCTGCCCGCGGGCGACCCACGGCTGAAGCGAATGCGGATGGGCGGGCAGGGCGCTATGGCGCGCGGCGACGTCGGCCTGGGCCGGGCGCCCTCTCAGGTGGGGCGGGGAGTGCCGTCGGGCGGGGGCGTGCGGAGCGCCGCCTGTTTGTTGGTGCCGCGCCTCTACCCTGACTCGCACCACTCAGTGCGAGCCTGTCTACCCGGCGCCCGGGGTGGCAGCAGCCCGCCAGACCAACGGCCCCGCGACGCCCCTTCTGCCCCC